CACATACCTCCCACCTACCACTCTCTTGCTTCTATAAATAGAGAGGGTGTGAGACTTAGGAGAGCAAGGGAAGAGATCTTAAGCTACCACAGAGGATGAGAGCATCTTGAGGTCTTGTATCAAGGTGTCGCTTGAGAGGGAGGCCATAGAAGGAAGATGAGAGCTCATCTCTATGTATAAGCTATATATTCTCCATTTTTTTTGCCTTAGTGAAATATTTGATTGATTCCCTTCCGTGGACGTAGATCCAGTTGGATCGAACCACGTAAACGATCTGTGTTTGCTTGTGTTCTTTGTGTTTCATTTCTATGTCAGGAAGTACATAGCTCAGAACAATATATATATATATATATATATTTTGAACATCACGTGTGAGACATTATAAATTAAAAAAAAAAGTTTTCATATTTTTTTTTCATGTAAATAGAAGACCGGTTAGTCTAATACAAGTCAACAAAAAATTAACAAAAAGGAGTTTCATAAAATTTTATGTAATTGATATTATAACCATTAACATAATCAGTATTTTTAAATTTAATTAAGATTTAATTATTTTTGTTGTTTAGGGAAGAAGAAAGTGATTGGGATTGATGTTGCAAAGAAAGATTCTGAGAATATTATCACAATTGAAAATAGGTCAACAGAAAATTCTGTCCATTTTGATAAATTATTCTAAAGGTGATCCATAGAGTGATTAGGGTGTTGGGGAGTTCTGAATTTAGTAGTTCTAATTTTAGTAACTTGTTATATTTTTATTTTGGTATTTTGGTGTAGGAATGGGAGTGTTTTATTGTGTTGACCTTTGAATTGTTATGTTCTTATTTGATGCTTGTATGAAACTTTTTACTTTGTGATTGTTAAGATCTTAATATGTCACTTCTTATTTCATACTTTGATACTTATTAACTTGCATAACTTTTTTATTTTGAGGCTAATGTCTCAAAATGCCTCGAGGCTTATGTCTTTTCACATGGATAGAAAAGGCCTCAATATCCACTTATATAATTTCAAACCACTTCCTATACTCTTTTGTCTCTATCTACCCGTAGAACTAGTACCACTGTGCTGAATGCTTTGTCATCAGAACTATACTATTCATTTTCCCTTAATCAAATGTTGGGTTCCTTACAAGGATTCAAAAGCTTAATGTGCATGTTGTATCAACGGAGGATCCATGTTTGGTGAAAAGAACATGGAGTGAGTGATTAAAGAAAATGAGAAAATTAATTAATGGTGGGAAGGAAAGTAGTAGAAGGAAAAACGCATAGCTACTCTTTTTTCCATCTGTTATTATTTCATTATTGCTAAAAGAATAGCACATTAGAGCTATTTAAATCTTGTTTAACTTGCATATTTTGATTAGTCTTTAGCTAAACATTTAGATCTAATAATTATTTAATAAAAATTCATTTTTTTAATATTATTAATTTTTGATAAAATAATATCAGAATATTATTATTCATTAAAATTTGTTAAAAATTACACTTAATTTATAAATAGCTCCATTTTTTTAATGTGAACTCTGCTCTTGAACTGTCAAAATTTCATTCACAATTTATTTGATTCTATTATTTCTATTTGTTTCTTCCATAATGTCAATGTGATTGTTAGTTCAGGTCACAAGAAGCGTTGATACTGTGTCCGGCCAGTTCAGCTCCCAGGAAAGGAAAACCGTTGATGCGATCGTTAAAGCAAGGTGAGTTTCTTTCGAATTTACTGATCATTGTTTATGAGCTTTCTTCTTATGCATCTTCTCATGTTTCATCGTGATTTTAGTTAAGGATGAAAAAACAATAATTTTGAGCTTCTATTGAGTAATTTACTTGAATCCATCGAATCAACACCTTTACTGGAGCTCATTTTAGCTGAGAAATCTTATCTATTACTTACCAATAGTTTCATAATATCATTTAACAGCGCATAACTTTTATACATGTATCCGGGTTCTTTGCGATATAGTGATTTCCCTCTATCCATCATCTTGGTTGGTGTTGGAGATGGACCTTGGGACATGATGAAAGAATTTGATGACAATATTCCAACCAGATCTTTCGATAATTTTCAGGCAAGTACTTTATTTAAAAAACAAGTAATAAAGCACGCAATAATGAAATTCATATAAATTTTTCTATACCTAAAACAATTTTTGCAGTTTGTTGATTTCACTGAAATCATGTCAAGGAACATAAACCTGACTAGAAAAGACACAGAGTTTGCTCTCGCCGCTCTAATGGAAATTCCTTCACAATACAATGCAGCATTGGAACTTGGAATATTGGGGTATGAAATACCATCATTTTACTTAAAAAATAAAATTTCCATAATTCTCTTTAATTCTCTGCAACACTGTCATTGCCGTTCCCAAGCAAGGATGTTAAAGTGGAGGTTTGTGTTAGGTAGTCGACAGCCAGCGTAGAACTTATCGTAAAAAAATTATGACATATATCCTTTTGGTCATTGCGTAATAGGACGCAATGGTGAAAAAGGATTCAGGTAGCCGACCACACGTAGTGGGATTAAGGTTTTGTTGTTGTTGTTGTTGTTGTTGTTGTTGCCATCTCTTAAATTCTCTGCGCTAAAAAAAATTCTATTGTTGAGCAGTCGTAGGAGCTCTAAATCTCCAGAAAGGGTCCCTCTTCCACCACCTGTAGGAACTTACAATTTATCTTCTACTGGCTACAAAAACTCTCATCCAACCTCTTTCCAGCGAAGTGGGCCATCCCCTCCCACAAGCACTGCTCCGTCTGCTCACACTTCTTCATTTGATAATAAGGTACAAATCATGAATCACATTTTCCTTATATATTCCATTTGAGAACTGCTAAAAGAGGAAGAAATTCATCAACCAAAACAGGAAAATATGAATCTCATACCGTTTTGGCTCAGGAATTGATCTTTATGTGTGGTTTTATGGCAGGTGTGTCCAATTTGCCTTACAAATCTTAAGGACATGGCTTTCGGCTGCGGGCATCAGGTGAAATTACAAAAAAAAAGGGCATTTGCATACATAACACTCAATTCCTGTGTATTTACATATCTAAAAGGGCATTTGCATACATAACCACTCAATTCCTGTGTATTTACATATCTAATACCTAAACTGTAATTTTTACATGTATACCACCAAACTCTTTCTTGCCACATAAAAAATATAACATTTTTAACTTTTAAAATGTGAAATGTTCCTTTTCATGCATAGATAAGGTATTATGTGTGTAAAAATAGGAGTTTAGATGTTAGATATGTAAATACATAGGAAATCACATCAGCACCATTGTCTGATTCATCTTCGTGCTCTTTCTCTGTAGACGTGCTGTGATTGTGGAGTGAACCTACAAACATGCCCGATTTGCCGCAGTGAGATCCATACCAAAATAAAGCTCTATTAACGCAACGAAAGCCGTTTTCAGATAGGCCAATGTTATTATTATTATATATATCTGTGTGGTTATTATTTTTATATCTCCGGTAAATGTGCAAAATTCGGAAATGGAGGACTCGCCTTTACATATGGCCTTTTGTTGTCTTCCTCATCAAATTTCTGGTAGGGAAAATATAAGCTGCACTTTTTAATTGCTTGTTGCTTTAGTTGGATAGCTCGCTCCTGGAGATCAGCTTAAAAAAGTATTTTTGGTAATTTTCTGTTCCAAGTTTAATTGACTATTTGTCTGACATTGTAGGTGTGTTGCTGAGGGCTGAATCAACAGATAATAGTATTTCATATTTAAATAAGGGGTAGTTTGATATGGTAAAAAAACATGGGGAGTAAATTGAATAAAGCATAAAATAAATACAATAAATTTTGATTGTTCAGTGGCTCTTTGGTTGAACAACAACCAAACTTTTATCCCACTTAGTGGGGTCCGCTACATGTATCATTTTTTCTCCATCTAGTCTTATTTAGTGTCATATTTTTATTTAATTCTAATAAATTATGATCGTTTTTGTACAATAAGTCGAAGTCATCTTAGGTCTACCTCTGCCTTAATTAACATAAGTCGAATCTAAAATATCTATTCTTTTAATTGGATCATCAAATGGTTGACGTTTATTGTGATCAAACCACCTAAGACACCTCTCTCTAATTTTGTTAGTCACTAGAGCTACACCAACCGTATCATGGATATATTCATTTCGCATTTTGTCTCCAAGTGTAAAGCAACTAATCCACCCAATCATTCTCATCTCGGCAACACTTAGTTTTATGCTCGTTTTTTAAAGGCTAGAATTCATCACCATAAAACATTGCACGTCTCATCACCATCTTATAAACTTTTTTTCAGTCTAATTTATCTTTTTTATCACACAGTAGGCTCGAAGCGTTCCTTCGCTTCAACCAACCAATTTGAATTATATTAATAACATCCCCTTCAATATCGCCATCACTTTGTAGAATAGACCCGAGATATCTAAAATGTTCACATATTAATAACATCCCCTTCAATATCGCCATCACTTCGTAGAATAGACCCGAGATATCCAAAATGTTCACTTTTTAATAATTTGATAACCCATAGTTACATTTTTGCACTAGACAAATTACTACTAAATTACATTTATTGTATTCAGATTTAGTTCTACTCAAATGAAGAACTATAAACTCCAGGGTAGACCTTCATAATCCAAGTTTTTTCCTTAGTTTTTTTTCTCATCTTGTTCACGAAAAGGATATCATCAGCAAAAAGCATACACCAAGGTACATCCTCCTGGAAGTGTCCAGTTAGATCATCCATAACTAAAGCAAAAAAGATATGCGCTTAAAGCCAATCCCTGATGTAAATCAACATAAATAGGAAAATATTTTGTCAATCCTCCTGTTCGAACACAAGTAACAATTCTTGTATATATATCTTTAATGACTTGAATATAAGTCAAATTAACACCTTTCTTCTCAAGAACTCTCCAAAGGGTATCACTCGGAAACTTACCATAAGCTCTTTGGTTGAAGGTAAAGTAAATATAGGAAGTTGTATTTTGGAAGTTGTGCTTTGGAAGATCTGCTTTTATATATATATATATATATACCGCTTAATTCCCATGTATTTATATACCTAGCAACTATATTTTAATTTTCACATGTCATCATAACTGTGCATGAAAATATATATTTCTTAAGAAGTTAAAATAATGATATTTTTTTTTGTGATATGAAAGGCTTTGGTGGTATAGAAGTAAGGGGGCTTTGTGCTTTAGATATGTACACACATAAAAAATTGGGAGGTATTCATGTAAAGGCCTCTTATTTTTGGTGCATGCAAAATAAAAAAAAAATGTATTTTAAATCTTTTTTATTTATTTATTTACATACAGGTTAATCAGGATGTGAATGGCTTAATAATACATATATTAACTCACTAAAAAAAAGCCAATTACATTTATGCCAAATTTGGCGTATATTGTTTAGGTTTACTTTGATGAACTGTACAATGGCTATATATTGAAGGAAATGCATTTTTTTGTTTTCGTTAGAAAGTAAATAAAATTTGCTAAAAGTTATGTGTTTAGACTTTGGTCAATTTCAACAGAACTTGCTACTGTGCTCAAATACATAAGTAGGGGTGTAAACGAGCCGAACACGAGCGAGCCATGTTTGGCTCGTTTATATTTCGAGCTCAAAAAGTGTGTTTGTTCACGAACAAAGAGTCCTTTTAACAACCCTAATCATGTAGTCATAGGACAATAACAGTTTGAGCAAGATTTAAAAATTTTTATTTATATTAAAACATCATTTGAATCAAATTTAATAATTTTTATGCTATTTTCTTAATTAATATATTCGTAGTCCATTAGATTTTTTAAAAATACTACTTAATATAATAGAACACATCTTAGATCGTATTCGGCTCGTTAACTTATCGAACAAAATTAATGAGCCGAACAAGAGCTTCTTAACGAGTCGAACAAGAGCTGTTCGTGAATAACGAGCCGTTTTGACAGCCCTATACATAAGAAATCAAATTTTTACGTTAGAAAATTCAATGTATTGTGACCTATTTTGGATGTATCACAATTTTTTTATAGAGTTGTATGATATTAGTTCGGACGGAGACATTTTTTCAATAAACTTTTTCGGTGTAAATTCATGTCTTCAATAACATTAACTTCAATATTCAGAAATATATAATCTTGAATGTAACTCCTTTGTTTTTCATGAAATTACATGATTTTAACCTCGTTAATAATAAAGTTGATTAATCAGAACAATATATCATTGGTAACATCCGATATTATTTCATTGGCTTGAGCCTGATTAATTTTACTAAACTTGAACTCAAACTTAAGTCTATGAGCTTGAGCCGGCTTGTTGATCGTAAAAGAGAAAAAAATAATATCAATTTAAGATAGTATTATAATAACATTGTCTATTATAAAATAAAAAGAAATCACTTAATATTAAATACAAATTATTATTTTTAAAGTTCTTTTATTACTTCTAAAGAAAATCTTCAAATTTCATATATTTTAGGTATATTTTATATTAATAACTTTTTTAAACAAGGTGGCTCAAGAGCTAACAAGTCGAGTCAGGACTAGTTTGAGCTTGGTTTGTTAGCTCATCGAGCTCAGTTCACGAGTCACTTATGGAGTCAAGTTCGAGCCGACTCACGAGTTGGCTTCACTCACACACCCAGAAGCAACCAAAATAGACAACCAGCGAAAGCCGTTTAGAATAATGCTAAACGATAAAGTAGAAAATAAGTCAAATTATTTAATGTTTTAAGAAAAGGCATTAATTGTGGAGTCACTTAATAATGTAGCTTAAAGCAGATCTTGCCATTTGACAAAATCATGAACAAAATTATATCATAAAGTTAAAAAATAACTAAATGTTACATGCAAAGCCATCTTCCAAAACATTCTAACAAGAAATTATATAAAGCGTTGAAAGCATATAGACGTATGACAACATAGTTTATAACGGGAGCATGTGCGCGAACAGATCATTTATAACTATTAATTATTCTTACCTGTTAAATCATTAAAATAACTAATGATGCCCAGGGTAAAATTAGCAGCAATTTATAGAAGAAACCCAATATAATGGTAGCAAGTTCATAAGTCCAAAATACTTCTAAAGATATGCCTTCAAAACATCGATACAGTCACCATGATTATAACCCAACAGCTAACAATCTATTAAAGAACACAAAATGAGTAATCTATCATTAAATCCTATAGAATAAAATCATTTACCAAACTAGTTTCGCATTCATGCAGCCTCTGAATGCCTAGATTTTGAAAGGATGATAGAATCATTGTCGAATACTTCAATAAATTGTCATATTTTACATCCTAAAAACGCTTGATAGTTCAGTCATGAGTTCAATGAAGCATTTCCTTCCCCGGAAGCTCTTGCTATGCTTCCGATTACAATAGCAACTCGAGTAACCATCTCAACAATCGTTACAATATACTCACGAAGATTTTGATCTACAACAAACACTTCATTTATTTATTTATTTATTTTTTTTGTAGAATAGATCCCATCAAAAGATGAAGGAATTGCTTAACGTATTATTTTTGTTGGATCTCCTTTGCTCGTGATGCATCTATGTTGGCATCTATAAAACTTGAGAACTCATCATTGTCCAAATTAATTTGTCGAATCTCAAATGGGATTTAAGAAATTTGGATGATGATGAAGATATCTGACATTCAAAGACGGTAGCACACCAAAAATGTCTTATTTCATAATCCGATTTGTTAGGCGCATTAAGTAGCATCAATTGATCAGGCCAAGGAAATATGAATGTTATTTTCAATTATTAAATTACATATAGTTATAGAGCTCGCACCACGACATTTTATTATTCTCCATCAACATAACTGTAAACAACTAAAATACTTAGATATTCGGTAGATCATGCAGCTTCCTTTCTGGAAATTCAAAGCTTCTGCTTTTATTTCGATTGCTTTGCAGTCAACATCTTATACATGATAGTGGTGTTCTATTGATAATTTCATTTCATTTGGCGAAGTATCATTTCTTGTTTCCTTCACAAGCACGTTGCATTTATGCCTTTACCCTCTCTTTCATACATTATAACTTGTGTGATGTTGGCTAGGCATTGCTTCGACTATTTCTGCTATTTGGGTTGTCAATTTAATTTTAGGAAACAAGTTTTCAATATGTTAGGAATTATCATGATTGTGCAATTACATTATTCAAATTTGGTTGAAGAAATTTCTTTATGAATTCAACTATTCTATTCTTTGCCTCAACATATTCATGCTATTGATTGATTTTTCATTTTCATTTTACCGTTATATGCAGGACAAGGCTAAAGTTCTGATGAAATATAATTGAGTTCTGGAGTGTTATATGGGAATTATATTTTGGTACCAAGGAGGGATGCTAATAATAACATTAGTTATATGGAAATTAAATTTATCAATCTTACCACTGATTTATCTTTTAGCAGTTGGGAGGAGAGGGCACGAGAATAATTATATGGTGCCACAGTATCAATTTAAATTTATGCTAGAGAGTGCAATTGTAAGGGCTTTCAAAACGACTCGTTGTTCGCGAACAGCTCGTGTTTGGCTCGTTTAGAAGCTCGTGTTTGATTCGT